TTCTCTAAATCTCCCTTTAATTAATAAATGTAGTTGTCTGATTTTCTGTTTTGAATTAGAAAAAAAAAACTTACAATAGATGAACATGAGTACTGATGCTGTTGAACGTGGGGGAAGCCGGAGCGCCCGGAGTGAACCCACACCTGCACAGGGAGACATTTCCCCCGTGCAGTCCTGACTTTCTAATATTGAAATATCCAATTAAAACAACAGCAGCTCTTTTCCCAATTCCCGCCAATCATCCAACCGACAGGTGGCCCCACCCCCTTTCAAATCTAATACCCTTGGTTCTATGCTGGAGGGACTTCATGTCTGTCTTTGAATTGGCGCCGATGTTTGGGAGTTAATGCTTTTTTGAATTGCCTCCACAGAGAGACTTTTTTCCTGGGTCTCTCTTCTTGGTCACAGACATTCTCCTCAGATGACGCTTCAGCTGTTTGACTTTCTGGGTCCTGAGATGCTGGGATAATATCTTCTTTTGATGTAATCTCTGTCTGTGGAGGGGATGTTGTCTGTTTCTTTGGGCCATTCTCTCTTTCTGTGGGAACTTCATGAACCTTATTTTGATCAGTCTCGCTTGGTCTTACAGCGGTTTCCAGTTTGCCTTGCATTGCTGTCTTTCTCTGTTCAGATTCAGATTGACTCATTTTCTCATCTTGCTGGTCCCCATCTAGCTGTATGTCAGGGACCATTTCATCTTCTGTCACCTGCTCTAGTTCGTCAATCACCGTTTCAATTCTCTGGATGTCAATTTTCATGATGGCTTCCTGATCGTCATGTATAAGTCCTTCACCGTTTAATCCAAAAAATTGTTCCTTATTGAAGCTTTCTAATTGGAAGGCAGCATCCAATGCTGCCTTTCTAATTTCTTCTGCAGAGATTTGTTGTGGGCTGGAGATAATTTTTTCTATCAAATCTACATAATTTTCAATGCCGGCTGCCTCATCCACAACTGTTTCTGGTACAGAAACTTCTTGTTCTTCATCACTTTCTCCAGAAATCTTGTCATTGTTCAGAGTATCTGATATCGTGGTCAGCTGATCCTGATGTTCATTCACTTGGTCCTCAGAGGGCTGGTTTTTCAGCGATGAAAAGAGCTCAGTTTGTGTTGCCACGGTCTTGTAAACTGGTTTTAGTTGGCATGTGGTTTCCTGATTATCTATCTCGGTTTGCGTTGAAATGGATCGACGGACTGGTTTTAATTGTGAGCTGGTTTCCTGTACAGCTGTCTCCGTTTGTATTGAAGGACACGGGTAGATTGGTTTCTCCTTTGAATTGTCTTGTGCCTCAGTCTGAACCTGAACAGACACCATAGACCTCTTCCGCTGTCTTCTTTCTGCGAGAACTTCCCTTATTAGATCGTTCTGCTGTTTAACCTTGTCAAATAATTTATGGTTCAGTCTGACCACCTCATCAAGCCGTTTCATTAAATGTTCCTGTACTCTGATATATTCCAGTTCGCGTGTCTTAAATTTGGCTTCACACGAACATGTTGCTTGAGCTGTCTTTTCAGAAGAGTGGGGCAGTACTTCCCTTTCAACAATCTTATCGGATGCAACTTCTTCCACTCTAGGCTGGTTGGACTCCATTGTCACCTTTGCTTGTTCCATCTTCTACAATAAATCAGTTCTCCAAAAGTCAGTAAAGATTTCACGATAAGTTTGATGTCAATCTCCAAAAGAAATGTGAACCAAACAAAGTTGAAAATCTTACTGTGAACTGCTAAATGAATTCTCTAGAGAAACGTATCAACAACGGCTGCTAACAGGTTGTGATGAAGGTAGATGGATGTGAGGAGCTTATATAATCGCTGGTGATGTCATAATTCTGCCTTTGGAGTTTGTATGGGAGGGGAGGGGCACCTAATCAGTGGTGTTCCTCTGTTATTGATCAATTCATACACAAATAGCTGATAAGTACATAAAATGCTGGCTAGAAAAAAAAATCCCCACATCGTTTTTGCGCCCCTTCCAGTGTAGTGCCTCAATGCGTTGCATACACTCCATACCCACTTTTTGCGCCACTGTCTGAATGCATTCGTGGCTTCTTCACTCAGTCCCACGAATGTTGCAGCTTGTTGGTCTCTCTAAAGTCTTTAGTCTGAGTGTGTGCATTCATGTGTGTGTTTCTGTGTTGCCTGCTGCAGATAAGCACCAGCAACCCTGCAAGGACAAGCAGGTGCAGATGATGGATGGATGGTGTAAAACCAATTCATGCCAAATACATTACTCAAATTTGGGACAAAGTTGCACCTTCAGTAACAGTAGAGTAGCAGATAACTCTTCCTACTTTGAAAACACAAAATTTTACCCTGTATTTTAATTTAGTTTCTAGTGCAAATATCTTAGTACAGTTGAATTAAGACAAAACTAACCTTTCAGCAAGATATGAGTCAATAATTACTTCATATTGATAAAGTACTATTTCCATTGATTATCTCACTTATTCCAGTAGAATTAGCACTTTGTTTTCAATATTAAGAATTATTGATGTTATGCTGAGAGGTGTGGTGAGGAAAGAGAAGTTAGTGCAGTAAATAAAACTGGTTTATTAAGTTTGATGCAACAGCAGATTTAAAAAATGACAGATTTGACGCTTAGGCCTGGAGTTTGACACGTCCTCTAGCACTAAAAAGAAGGTTAGAGAAAAACTTACTGCTTCTTACAAACAATATTTGTTCCTGAAACTAGAGAAAAATACTTGGCATTATGAGATTTTTGCAGTTTGCAGATTAAAATGACGCACAAACTCTATTTAGCTGCTGCAGTAACTTTTGTTAACAACCCAGTAGGAGAAATGGAGCAGACAGGCTGACAATCATCTGGCACCGAGCAAAGTAACCCCAAAAACAAGAATACTGAACGTCAAAAACTGAGCTTGACAATAAACTATTGTAATCACAAATTGAGAGCAGGTGTGAATGGGAGGCTAAATAGTACACTGACAGACAGCTGGATGTGCTGGCTGCTGCACCGAGCAGATTTCACAGAAATCTAGAGCTTAACTGAGCAAATCAGCACTACAAACTGTTTTTTCTCCATAAAAAAACAAAATAATTCACCATTGTTTTTGGATACAGGGGAAAATGGAGCTCAGCATGTGTACAGCATTGCCTGGAAAAGATCATAATTTAAGCAGTTTGATGTGTTTTTGATTCAGGGGAGAGAAACAACAAAATGGAAATGTGGCTCTGCAGAGAGCTGAGGCACAAGCACACGCATACCAGCTCTTACCCTGGAGACCGAATGGTTCATGAGGTTCAAAATAAAATTTTAAACCTTGATTTTTCACCAGTGACAAAGTCACAGCTTTTGATTCAGTCCTGTAAAAAAGACCTACTGTGTTTTTTCCCCCCTCTTTTTTCATGTCATGGTCACAAACATCAATATATTTTATTGGGATTTTATGTGATAACACAAAATTGTTCATATTTTGCAAAAATGACATGGTTAATTTTTAGGACTGTAGCTAACGATTGTTTTAGTAATCGATTATTCTGAAGGTTAAATGATTAATCGGTATTAAAAAAATTGGCACATTCTGCAGATTTTACATTTAACCACTTCATTCATTTTTTGTTTAATATTAAATATAAATTAAAATATGCAAATAAATCCGAAAATTAACATTTTATTGCCTAAAATACAACAACACTGCATTCCTTTAGTGAACTCTTGATCATTTGTAGCAAAAGTTTTATCTACAGCTAAAAAAATACTTCTAACATCAATATGTGTATAAGTGGAGGGCAAATAGATTTTTATTTACAGAATTTGAAACAGGTGAAGCTAAAAGTGCCACTTGAGGAATTCTGGGTAGAAAATATTTACAGAAAAATATGCTTGTTTTTTTAATCTTGTTTGCAAAATGTTTGTACAGTTTTGGCTTAATTACCACTTTGAGGGTGTTGTTCTTTCAGCAAATGACCTTTTTTTGAGTTTGTTCACTGAAGTTAATGATTAATCAACTGCTAAATTAGTTAATGATCATTCAAATAATTGATTAATCATGATTAATATGATTAATATGATTAATCATTTCAGCTTTATTCATTTTTTTAGCAAATATAAATCCAGTGTCACAAGTATTTGCTGCCTCCTTTACTCTGTTGACCAAAATTTTAAATTGTTTGCCTCAGACGAAACACAGCTAATCACACCAGAACGCAGTGATTTACACCCTGAATACGGGGAATTCGCTGCATCTTTGTTTGGGGATGTTTTTCTTTATCAGGAACAGGAAAGCAGCTCAGTGCTAATGGGAAGATGGATGAAGCTGAATACAGGAAAACTCTGTTAGAAATTCAAAAAAGACACAAAACTGAGGCTGATTCGTTTTCCAGCAGATGTTGCAGAGAAACGTGATTAAACAGAAATGTACACCAAATGTTTTAGATTTTACTCATAAAACAAATTATGAATTATTTCTTCATAATGTTTATTGGTCTGTATGACTGTTTATGGCAACAATTAAATATAAGTTTGTTATTCCCTCTGATTGTAAAAAGATGCATTGTGGCTAATTAAAGCTACAAATCCATTGCAAAATAATGTTATTCTTACACCTGTTTAGATTTATTTTTCTTCAAAAAATTACAGATCTCCTCCGCATATTTGCTTTAACAAGCCTGTTTTTTTATTGTTTGTTTCTTTTACAGTTAATCAGTATTAACAATGCTTAGTTTAGTTTATTAATTTATTTACAATGGGGACAATGTGAAAAGAACATTAATAAAAAATACTTTGCACCAGCTCTAGCTTAAGCTAAGTTTCCATCTGTAATAAAACAATCTAATATCATAAAACAACCATTGAATGTCTACATATCATATATAAAAGAAAAATCTGTTAAAATGTGTCTATGTGTCTTTGGTGCTGAATTTAGAATAACTTCTTATGTGTATAAAAAATCTACTGCATAAAATGTGCAATTACAATATAAAGAGAGCTATAAATTGTTTTTTTTTTATTATTTCAGTAAACAAAAATCAATTTGGAGACGGGTATATATAGTTTAAAGAGTGTTTCAGTTTCGGGGAACGTATTTCACCATTAACCTTCCTCCAAAGTAAAAGGTCTATAATTTCATGTGAAATGAAGCAAAGTAAAAGAAGAACTACGTGTCAGTTTTAATTTCTTCCCCAATTAAAAACTGCTCTCCTAAAAGCAACAGTTTCACGCAGTTCTCCAGCGGAAAACTTGTGCAATTTATTGGAGTCTAAGTAATGCTGCAGATTGGTCCCGGTCCCCCGTGGCTCAGCAAACCGATTTGTCTGACGGTGGAAATGAAGCGGCACTAATGTCCTCTCTTTTAGCTCGGCTCGCATTCATCACCACATTTGTTTTCTCTCTCCCGCTTCAGGACCTGGGGAGTTCAGACGGTCCACCGAGGAACTGGAAGGGCATCGGGATCGCCATGGTGGTGATCCTGGCCGTCATGTCCCTGGTCACCCTCTCCGTCGTCGTCCTGACGCCCGGTAAGAAAAGAGGCGGGAGCATCAAAGTGGAAAGCGCAATTTGGATCCATGGCTTTGAAAGTTGCATAAAAAAACACCAATTTAACTCTCATGTCTGCAGCCAGAAGCCTTTAACTTCACATAAAGAGCAGAAAAGGAAGGAAGAACTAATCAGGCTCTGTTGTAAAGTGAAAAAAAATGAAAATCCACCTACGGGCGCCTCCTTCTGAAGCATGTTTGTTTTATCTGTACAAGAACCACATCATAAACAAAACAGTTGAGTCTTTTTGAGAGGTTAAAAACCTCTTTGACTCGTTTTTTTGTCTCATAGTAGTTGCCAGGCAACCAGGAGAAACTCCAAGAAGTTACTGCTCTCGGTCAAATAGTCTCCGAGAGATTATAAGACCCAGTAAACTGGGACTTTTTCCTTTAAGACTTTGGTTTTAGCACCACCATTAAACAAACAAGATATAAGGTGTTAATTAGTATGCCATAGAGCTGGATGTGTCCCCTGGCGTCCATTTCGTTTTGCTAATTTAGTTTCTGAGCCCTCACTTCTGAAGGACAAACGTGAGAGGGGCATCGATCTTGTCAGCGCTGAAATCTTCTCCACGATGCTGAACTCTCTCAATTTGAATGCAGACCTCCTTTCACTGGTTTTTCTTTCTTCCATGGCGCTTCGAAGTGGCATCTGCTGACTTTTAGATCAAGTCAAGACAATTTTTTATCCCTGCAGTCGGTTTCCAAAACATGAAGCATGTGCGACCTTGCTTGATGTTATTTGAACCCTCTGCTTACGCGAAAGCTACCAACAGATTTCTTCTCTGTTTTACTTCTTTTACATACATTTTAAACACATTTTAATATCAGACAACTATACCTGAAATTAGAAATTCATTTACTGAGGGAATAAAACAATGTAATCTACCCTGCGTTGAATACTCTAGAAAAAGTTAAAAAGTACTCTCTAAGCCTAATTACCATTGTTATAGAAGTAAATATATGGAAGTAAATATGTGCCAAAAGGATTTAAATTAAAAAATCTTGCATGTTTGTGGTCTCCTAAAGAGAAGTTGATTGTTATATAGAAATAGTACTTCCTTTACAAATAAAATCATCATTTATTGGATTTAAAATTATTTTGATGCTCTGAAAATGTTAAGTGTGACAAAGAAGCTAAAACAGAATATATCTGTAAGGGGGTGAATACGTTTTAAATGCTCATTTCTTCTGATTTGTGCAGTAGAGTAGAGGTAGTGATGAATCTTTATTTTTATTTGTGAGTGTGTAGTCAATGATAAATTTAATTCCTGTTTGCTATCTCTTGTTGATTTTAATCGAAGTGTAAGTTTTGGAAATTATTATAACTTATTGTGGTAAAAAAAAAACATCCTTTAGATTGAACTGATTGGTTTTTGAACCCTGAAATAGTTGAACATAGCCTAACTATGCTATTCTGAAGAGATAAATCCAGCATGATGCTAAAAAGTGGGCCAATCCCTGCTTTCATGTGAACAAAGGCTTTTCACAGTTTGCTCTGTCTGTCTGCTTTCAAAGACGAGTCTCACTTGTTACTCCGCTCCCATGTGACCATGGAGGATCTGGAGAGCGAGGAGTTTAAAGTTCACGATCCCTGTGCGGCGTGGTTGAACGGTGAGGATCCGTGTTTCAATGACCTGTTGGACCCGAAATGGTTAAATGTGTACTATTTGCCAATGATACTAACATTTATTTATGTTGGAGTTGATGTGGAACAACAATGAAAGGATAAAATGAACAAACTTAAATAAAACACAACAAAAATAACATTATTGTGGGAACTGCCAATCACTGTCAATGACACCAGTTTAGGTGTGATTATTGAGGATAAACTAAAAGTAAATCCCTATTAAATAAAGCCAAGTTAGTTATACAACAAAAAGCATTACATTTGCTCTACTATTCATCTATCTTACCCTATTTCAGTTATTGTGCAGAAGTCTGTGGCAATAATTACGAAACTACCCTACAAGTATTAACAATACCACAAAAAAGAGTAAGAAGTGTAATCCATAAGGTTGGATATTTAGAAAACACTTACAATTTAACTAGATTTGTGAAATCTAAATTGTTAAAGAACTAATTCTTTAAGCTAAACATAAACATGAACATTGACATGACATTGAAAAACTGTTTAAGACCAAGAAGCAAATTTTATACGTTTAAAACATGCAAATTCAGAAATACTAGAAAAATCTTTTGTAAGTAATTGGAGACAAACTGTGGGATAATTTGAATACTGAACTTAGCCAATGTCCAAACATGAAATTGTTCAAATTATCATACAAACATATGATTACTCCTGGATATAAAATGTAATATTGTTAGCAGGTGTGGAGCTATAGGGGGGCCTGGGGGGGCTGCTTGCCCCCCAAACCGGGCCGGATGGGGGCCCGGGCCTGGAGGTGCCAGGGAGGGAGGAATGGTTTCAAGTCATTATAGACAGAGAAAGTGCGCCCTCGCCTGTTGAGAAGGGTGTATTTAATGTTAAAAACACCTCCCCCACCCCCACGTAAGGGGCCCGGTGATTCCTTAGGGGCCCGGTTATGGGTTAGGGGCGCTGACTTGTTCCGCTAGTGATTGTTAGTCAATTATTGTTGATGATGCTAGCTTTGTTTTTCTTAGTGAAATTTAAAGAAACAATAATTGTTCATCCGCTGTAGTCGAAATTAAATATCAGTCCAGCATCTTCTGCCTATAAACATTAAATAAATTCCAATACAAAAAAACCCTAAAACAAATTACAAAGTAATTGTTCCCAGTGAACTGTGACTGCAGTTGGCAGTTTCAAAAGTAAACACAGCAGATAAAATTAATTACTCTAACAGTTAAAATCATACACAAAATTATACATGAAAAAACCCTGTGCCTAATTAAATTTGTCTAAAATATGTGCCAAAGTACAATACTTGTAAATAAAACACGGAGCTGATTGTAATGCATCCCACAGTTACAGACAACGGCGAAAACAAAAAATGGGGAGCGCAGTCAGTTACTGGTTGCTACGGCAACCACCAACCGCCAAGGGCGGCAGAAAGGGAACTTACATAGCAACAATAAATGTCAGGAGAAAATAACTTTAAAAAAGATTCATTTAAAGGGTTAATGAACTAACTTCACATTTATAATGTTGTTAAAACAAAACCCATGTAAGATTATGCTGGTGGTTAAGAAGTCTGATTTTTTTTTTTTTTTTTTTCAAGTTTCTACTTCCACCCACTCTCTTGAATATGTAGGGGGAAAAAAAAGAGAAAAAGTTTTGACATCATGCTTGACGCTGTGTTTTTTTTTCCCATACATATTCAAAAAACAAACAAACTCCATCTGCTTTTCCCCTAACAGAGAATGAAGTGGCGCTGCGCACCAGAGAGGGACATGTCCTGACATTCACCCTCAGCAACAACCTAACCACAACTCTGCTGGACAACAGCTCTCTGGTAGGACGGCTCGCAGAAATGACTGTCTCACATTAACACAAAGAATGAACAAACAGGTCGATAGAAATGAAAACTGGGAGACAGATGCTGCGGGGAGCTGCGGCACCACATGGCGCATTTTACACAAAAAAAGACTTGGCACGTTGACGGTATCGGCGCGTATTTCCCCCCCAATCTGGCTCCTCTGTGAGCCCTCTGCCTTTGTCTTCAAAGAGATCTTTCCGTGCGAGGGCATCATTTTGAACACCGCCTCTGCTCGACACTAACAGACTTATGTGGGTCATCGCAGCCATGCTCAAAGCAGGGTTGTGTTGTCAGTATGATAAGTGTCTTCCCTGTGTCGAGATGTTGGTTTTTCATCTCTGCTTCTATAAAAAACAAACAAAAACAAATATTTTCTTTCATATATCAAAACACACAGATAAATATGTTGCTGAGTCAATTTTCTGTTTATGTTTTAAAGGTGACCTGTAATGCTTCCTATGAGATATACAAAGCTTATTCATTACATTATTTGCACTAAATCATTTAGATAATGAGATCTCAGACTCCTCACTTCTGCCTGCTTTAAAATGATCTGTTTTGGGGTTTCTTGTCACTTTAAATCCAAACAAGCTGCTGCTAGCAGAACTCATTTACACTGCAGAAAACATAATTATTCAACCGTATACCATAGAAAAGCAGAAGTAGGGCATCGTGCTCAACCAGCAAGAATTTAGAAAGTAGTTTCTGGATGGTAAGTCAACAACAAAACACTTGTCCAGCTGACCAAATGTGCTGGAACTCAGTTTGGGTTTCTAGGTGACACGCAGAGCGCTCCTGGGGTTGCTAGGTGAGGGCAGTTGTGACGTTATATTCTCAAAAGACTGAGTTGTTGCTAAAAACGAGCTGGGTTGGTTTATTAAGCAGTAGAAATCCAAATAGAAGTGCAAAAACATTTATCCAAATATTGTGTATATATTTGAATCCTAAGTTCTCATCCTGGAAAGATGTAAAATCTCAATTAAATCATTAATCATGTCCATGATCAGTGTGTTACCCAAAAACCAGACACAAATTGAGAAGATGTAGTTTTATGCCAGATATTCACATTTGCTTTTAAAGAAGGCGGATGTTGTTTAATATTCAAGGATGGTTTGCAAGGAGGCACTGAGGTACTCCACTAATTACAGATTAGAAGAAGCTCACATGAATCTTTTTTTATGACACTTTGTCTTAGAGGTCAGTGTCTTTATCTTTCTAAATTAAGATAATTTATTTTTATTGACTTGTATTAAGAGGGTCTAAATAAGCGAATGTGGTTATTATAAGTAAGTGTTCCTAAATGAAAATAAATAAAGAGGATATTAATAAATATGAGTAGTACTTACAGTACAAATAACTCTTCTGACATTTGACTGTTTTATGTCATTGCAAGTGTTTCCCCTTAATAGTTCAACACATTTCAGAAATGTTGAGGCAGTAAAGCTTTTAGGACTTTATGTTTTCATTTTATCCAATTCTAAAATGTTGTTGCTTTGCTGTGGGGTTTTTTCTCTCCACATTTTTCTGCAAGCACATCTCAAGGTGTCAAAGCAGTTTTTGTTATTACTTCCTGTTCTAAAATGCTCCATTCAGTCATTCTCCAGTACACTTACCTTTTTCTTTTTTTTCAAATATGCAGCTTTGTGTTTAATAATTTAGCTTTGTAATATCTTGGTAAATAGTACAAGGACATTCCTGGAAATTACACTTTCTTCAAGACTGTGTGCTTTCCAATTTAGTGAAGTGTCCTTTTCTGCAATAATGCTGCAGTGACAGCGGTATAGCACTCATACCCATACCAGCACAGAGCCTGGCTTTTTTAATTTGCTGCTTAGAACAGTTTGCATGGTCCAAAGCACATTGTATCCCCTTTCTCCGAAGAAGATTAAGATTACTATTTCTTTGATTACGATCCACATTATGACTGTGTGGCGGTCCATTCGAGATGCTTCAGAGCAAAGAAAGAGTCAGTTCTGGTTCTGGACAAAACATAAGACTTCTGTTTTGCCCAGTAAAATCCTAATTGGTACTTATAGGCATAAATCAGCATGATGCTGCTTGATAGAGTCATCCAAAATATGAGCTGTTGATGTCATTTTCCATTTAAACTGATAAAAAAATATATTTTTGTTTTGTAAACTGGCTTACTTTATATGTTTCGTTCTCAGTACGTGCTCCATACGAAGATCATTGTTGGTGCATCCTACCTCAGCTTCTCTAATGGTTTCTGTGCAAATAACCACCCAGTTCAAAAATAATGATGGTTTAAAGGTTCATATAATGGCATTTGCATAAACCTAGTGATGGGTCCGGCGTCGGTGCACGTGTCCAGCCCATAGACCTAAACCCGTTTCGGTGCGCGTATTTGTTTCAGCAAGTCACGTGACCGATACAGGAACTGTTTCGAAATGACATTAACGCGCCAAACTCTGTTTATAAGGAAGCAAATCTGTCAAATTAAACGAATTATTGATCTTTTACGGAACAGCGTCAAATATGGAGTAGCTTCTAAGGAAAGGTTTCCGCAGCGTGGGGCCATTTTGATCTTATATTGGAAAATAAATTAGTTTTCATTTTTGTAGTTTCATCCGGTTCTTGTCAGTTTCTACTTGATCTATCTGAATCCAAATTCAGCTGAAATGGACTCTTAGTTTACTTTCATATTATGTTCTGCAGGTTAAGTGTTTGACTAAACTGTCTTATTTATATAAATCCACCTTTTCAATGTTGAGGCAT